TTTTCCCAAAAAAATACATTGAATCTGGACGTCCGCGGCGGAAAGCCTTCGCTCCCTTCTTTCGCGAGGCGAGGAAGCGGTGTGCTTCCCGAGACGGAAATTCCACGCGATTACGAAATTCCCCCCCTTTTTTTTTTCACGCCATCGCTTTCCGCCGACACGTGATGGCTTGCTTTCGCGATGCCTCAGCCACTTCCGACACGAGCTGCGACGATGGAGGCGTGGATCCCGCTCTCGGTCTTCCTCCTCGCTCGCTCCTCCGAGGGGCTCCTCTTCCCCGTGCCTTTTCCCGAGGTTTATCAGCCGAATGCTTCGAATCCCGTGTCGCTCGTGGAGATTTCCCAATTCTTCAACGTTTTCTCGGGGCTCAAGTACAACCTGGACGTGTACGTGCCACGGTTCGGCGATTCCCTTCCCGTTCTCTACTTCTTGCCCGGACTTCAAGGTAAGATTCGCCGACGCCTAAAAATTAATTAGAAAAATTAATTAATAATTTTTTTAAATGCAGCTTCGGTGCCCTCGACGCGATACGGAACGATCTTGAGGCACGTGGCCAGCCACGGCTTCGTGGTCGTCGGGATGTGGAACCCCCTCGGCGTCCACAACGCCGTCTCCAGGGCCAAGCAACTCCAGCAGGTGAGTTCCCAGAGGTTCCCAGAGGTTCCCAGAGGTTCCCAGAGGTGAATGAAAGAGATGCGGTGTCGGAACAGGCGCTGACCTGGACTCGGCAGAACCTGGAGAACCGGCTGAGACGGCGAATTCCGGCGAACGCGAACTTCGCGCTGAACCACTCTCATTCCGTCTTGGCGTGCCATTCGGCGGGTTGCCAGATCGCTGTCTCGTTCCTCGTGAACCAGGGTTGCTGGAACTTCAGGTCTCTCATCCTGTTGAGCCCTGTGGACGGGAAGGACCCCTTCGGCATCAGGCAGAACTTCGTCGTCACGCCGAATCAGATGTTGCCCGTGTCGATTCCGAGTCTGACCCTCACGGCGGGGCTCGACTCGGTGCCGGGTGGGTCCTTTTCTCTTTGCAAAATTTCACCGAAACTGCAAAAAAATATTGGCACTGTTTCTTTCGCTCTCAGCGAAGAGATTCTTCCCTGCCTGTGCGCTGGCTGCTCTCAGTAACCGGAGATTCTTCGACGTCTTGCAAGACGTTCCCAGGTGGTACGTGGAGGCAGTGGATTACGGGCACGCCGACCTCTTGGACCGGTTCTACACCAAGGTCAACCAGGTGAGGCTTCCTGCGGTTGTTTTTGCCATCGCACTCGACGCGCAATCCACCGGGGACCTCCTCTCGCCGACAGGTGCTGCAGGTCTGCGCCACGGCCCCCTCGGCCGACAAGAGCCTCTACAAGCGACACGTGGCCGGGCAGATGCTCGCCTTCGTCAGGTCCTTCGAGAGCGCGAGGGCCTGCGTCGAGTTCCTTCCTTGGCTGGGGGACTCGCCCGTGGTGGACACGGTTGCGATTCCCTCTGGATGCTCCTGTGACGTGCCGCCTCTTATCGGTCCCGAGGCCTATCGGTGTTACGGAGGTTTCGGGAATGGTTTTTTAAAGAAATAATTGCTCATTCGAATGGGATGAGATTTAACCTGTACATTCGTCAACATTTCCCCTACTCGTAAAAAATGTCGCCTCGTGGATCCCCCCACTTTTGCCACCGGGAGGGTGGAGAATACATACCCTGCTTGTAGTTAGTCGGGCCGCTGCCGTCGGAACCGGTTTGTCCTCGAGGTCCCCTCCTTCCTCGAAGGGAATCCTTGAAATCCTTGAAATGGAGGTGATTTTTCAGAAAACCAAAGAGGTGATTAGGGTTGCCAGAGCGTTGTCGTGAAGAAGGCGGAGTTTCTTCCCGCGCTTTTTCGAAACCGCCTTCTGGAGTTTCTTCCGAGTCTCGCAGTGTTGCCGAGCGTTTTTATGGCGCCGTCGAGTTCCAAGAAATCGGCGAGCAATGGCCCTTTACGGCCCTTTACTTCCACTTTTTTGGACTGTTCTTTCGTCTCGGGAAGGAAAAGTGGCAGCCGCGTTTCATCGCCAGCGATGACCGAGTTCAGACAAGAGTTGCCCTTTGGGCCACTGCGATTCGCGTCTTTAACCGTCACCTGTCCTTTAAATTTTTTTTTCTCTGAAAAGGCTTTAGGGCTTTCTGTCCAAACTTTTTTCCCCCCTCAAAATTGCAAATTGATTTCATCTCTTTCCATCGTACCACCGCGAAGGCGGTCGCATAAATTATTCATGACTGAAGGAGACGTTTTTACTTACCCTGGACCGTATATGGTTAAAATTTCAGACCTCTACGACCTCTAGTTATTTTTTAGGACATGTTTTCCTCAAAATTTTGGACCGTACGCCCGACGTCCGTTATGCTTCTTCGAGCGACAATAATAGTCATTTTTAATAATATTAATAGTAACAATAGTAATTTTTAATAGTAATAATAATAATAATTTTTTGCATGGTGCATCAACGGGAAATCGGAAGCGCAAAGGCGGCTTTTTTTTTCCCGCCAAGCCGATCCGAAACATCCGGCAGCGGACTCGGAAAAAATGAAGCTCGAATGTTCTTGAAAATAAATATCGAATGATGAATTGGAATGGAATGTTCATTCATATTCTAACATGGGATCGGGATTATGAAACTCAGGTTGACGGGATGAAAACACGCTTGAAAGGCGAACGCCGACCAGCTGTTTTTTTTTTCCACACGATCGTCTGAAGACTGTCGGAAAAATGTTCGGAAATTTCTGCTCGTTCGGCGGAAACTTTTTTTTTTTTTCGGTTAAAACGAACGAAAATAATTCCGTTCGTTCTCGGAATAACACTCCCCGAGGGAGAAAATGCTCCGAATTTTTGGATGAAATTTTCACTTTTTGGAAAGTCGGTTTCCGGTCTGACAGACTTGCCCTTTTCCCCAAAGAAAATGATTTCCCTCCGTTGTGGATGTTTTCCGCTGGTTAACCTGTAACCTTTTTCTCCCCATGATTATCTACTGATGGAAATGCTAATTCTCTGGGGCCTCGGAATGCTATGCAATGCGACCGAACAGCAGGATCATCGCGGCTTAAAAATGCACCAGATCATCGCTGGATATCTCATGCATGCGGCACAGTCGGCGCTGTGCTAGCCCATGGTATGCATCTACATGTTATAATTTTTTATTTATGTAATTTTATGTAATTTTAAATTACTATGTAATATTAAATTAATTATGTAATATTAAATTAATTATGTAATATTAAATGAATTATGTAATATTAAATTAATTATGTAATATTAAATTAATTATGTAATATTAAATTAATTATGTAATATTAAAATTAATTTAAAATTACATAACTAAAAAACTAAAAACTTTCCTGAATTTTTCGTGAGCTTCTTCAGCCACGCAAGCACCTTAAAGTCCGCTAGTAGAGGCATTCCGCCGCAGTTTAAATTGAATAACTACTTTTTTTTTATTAATTCAGCACACGCTTTCGTCCGGAAAAAAAAAACACAATGCTACCATTAATGCGGAAGGCAACTGTGCCATGAACTCGCGGGGCTTTTTTTGACCCCATTGACCCCTTTCGCCCTCTCCATGGGGCATGTACCCAGCCCTCCTCACCTTGGGTCGGAGGACTACTTTCTCCGACCGGCCTTGCCTGGTTCCTCCCTTTAAATAGTGGAGGATTCCACATTTTGTGGCATTCCCGTGAGGTACACGCGTGGTACGTCCCGAACAATCGAGGAGTACTCTCGGGGCATCTGTGGCAGCACTTCCTAGCAGCACTTCCTAGCAGCACCCGTTGGCAGATCGCCCTTCGCCATTCATTCTGGTCTTGGCCGCTGAGAAGAGTGCCTTATCATCCTTGCTGGATCCTGAGACTCTCCGCCCTTCCTCCTCCAGTTTGGCTTCCTCCTCTCTGCCGCCTCCCCGACGCCAAACTAGACATTTTGTCCATTCTCTACAGACTCTACTCCACGTCCTCAGCCCAGTGACCTCCTCTGGAGGAATTTTAATTTATTTTGGCCGTTTGTCCTATTTGTCCTTCCTACTTGCCACGACAAATCTTGTTCACGTGACTTTTTTTTATGGTCCCGAGCTTTCTCCGTCCCACCGCTAACTCGCGTAGCGGTCACACGAGGCAACAAAACGCACTTGTCCAAGTATTCACCTGCGATCACGCAGGTGAATTTTGTCAATTTACATTACGTGTTCTGTAAATTCGAGCGAAGGCGACCAAAGCCTATTTGCTGTATTTTTTTCCAGCTTGAAGCCAACAGGCGAGGATCTTTAAAAATTTTACTCGCGGCATTCAAAATTTTTCTGTAAGTAAACCAGGAGAAGTTTTCAGAAAATTCTTCATTTGGAAGACAATGATGCAGGATAATTTTATCGACGATCGATTTCCTCAAAATCAAAAAGTGAAGCGTTTTTTTCTTCGAACCCGAAATAAGCCAAACTTAAATGCGCACGAAAATCGAGATCTCGGCCCTATAGGGGCTCATTATGCACAAGTACAAGATCAGAGAGGCTTATCCCAGGAAGGGATAAGCCTCTCTGATCCCCGTTTACGCCTGGTTAACATACGATGAGCTCCGGTACTTTCTCCAAGCCGATGCTTAATTTCCGAGAAATTAAGGCTTGATCTCCGGGGCTTTACGTTTTCGCGCCCGTAAATTTTCAGGCAACTCAGCGAAGGTAAAAATTTGTTTACGTTCGACTGAGCTAATGTCACGTCTTCGAGTACCAATCGTGGTCTCACGGCCTGGGCGGACACGGCAGAAATATGCAAGATCCCGGATATGCAAGATCCTGGGATGCATCCTGGATCTTCCACCGTTTGCACAGCTTATCAGAGCCATTTACACGAGTGAAATGGCGCATGCAACGATGAATCCCCGATCGGGGAAAGGATTTATTTAATCACCGCACGTAAAGGATCCCTCAGTTACTATCAGTTTCCCCCGTTTCGCGCCTCTGCACGCGATAAACGAAGCCAGTCGCAACCAGCCGGACGATGGAGACCAGGCCGGCGTGGACCTGTCTCCCCATCGTCCTTCTGGCTTATCCCTCTGCGGGGAGACGATTCCTGAAACCCGTCCAGGTCGCCCAGAGCGTCGCCTCGCCCTTGGGCCTTTACTACCCGAATCCGGCCGTCTCGGTCTCGTTCGTGAGGATTCATCACAACCCGAACGTGTTCGCCGGGTTGAAGTTCAACTTGGACGTTTTCGTGCCGAGGATGAGTGGCTTCCTCCCCGTTATCTACTTTCTACCTGGATTTCAAGGTGAAACTTTTTTTTTATATTTTTTTTTAATATAGGAAGTTTTTTTGTAAGTTCTAAGTCTTACGTATTTATTTGTTTTTGCTTCCTGGCAGCGACAATTCCTGCAAAGCTTTACAGTTCCATATTGAAGCACCTGGCCAGTCACGGCTTCGTCGTCGTCGGAGTGTGGCGAACCCTCGGCAGCCTCAACTCCGACATACGAGCCATACAACTCAGGAAGGTGAGCCTCATCGACCCGAGAACCAACAGCAACGAGCGCCAAACCCCTCATCCGGTTACAGGTGCTGACCTGGACGCAGAAGCACCTGGAATCCCAGATAAAGTTCACCGTCGGATGGCCGAACAAACCGAGGCCGAACCACGCCAAGTCCACCCTCGCGTGCCACTCCGCCGGCTGCCACATCGCCGTCTCCTTCCTGGTCAATCAGGGTTGCGCGAACTTCGGGTCGCTCGTCTTGATGAGCCCCGTGGACGGGAAGGATCCGTTCGGGATCGTGCCGAAGTTCGTCGTGACGCCGTACCAGCTTCTGCCGTTCTCCATCCCCAGCCTCATTCTCGCTGCGGGGCTCGACCCCCTGCCTGGTATGATCGCGAATCGCCCGTTCCAGGGGTAGGATCGCGAATAACAGCGTCTTTTTTCTTTTATTTCACAGCGAAGACGTTCTACCCAGCCTGTGCGCCAGAGGATCTCGGCAGCATGAGATTCTTCGACGCCCTGCGAGATGTTCCTAAGTGGTACATTAATGCATTGGAATATGGGCACTTCGACCTCCTAGACAAACTTTATGCAACAGGCAATCAAGTGAGAATCCATTTTTAGATTTACATTCCCGATGTAAATGTTAGGGTTGGGCTTGATCAGAAAAAAATCATCGCAAGAAAAAAAGTAAGACCTTGTCAAGATGACAACGATGTAGAGCTCTGCACGCGCTCATTTTCCGGTACCCGACCCGAAACCCGAATTCCAACCCAACTTCACGGCCCGGCCAAAACCAGACACGAGAAAAAATTAAACGACACGGAGTTTCCATGTTCTCAGACAGGAGGAACGATAAAATTTAAATGTTAAAATTCGACCCAACCCGAATCGAATCAAAGAAGGATCCTGACAAATTCGGACCGAGACGGTCGCGGGTCGGAGCGATCGGGCCGGGCCACGGGCCCTGCAGGCCTCTACAACGATGTCACAACCAAGTAAAACGAGGGGAGAAAAAAACTAACAAAAAAATCCAAATTTTATCGACCCTTGACTGAGCGTTGAAGGTAGAGGACATCTGATCAAGACTTGACAAGAAACGAAATTCAAGATCTTGCCAAGCGTCTCCTTTGAAACCCGACCCTAGTAAATTTAGGCGACATTCTCGATAGTAATGTTGGATCCGATTCATCGCGCCCCGGCGGGAACGAGTCACCGATACCCTAAACCTCTCCACCTGCAGGCGCTGCAGCTCTGCCCCGCGAACTCCGCGATAGACAAGAGCATCTACAGACAGCACCTGGCCGGGACCATGCTCGCGTTCCTCGGGTCCTTCGAGAACGTCCAAACCTGCCTCAGCCTCCTCCCCCTGTTACAAAGCCCGACCTTCTTGGGCAGCGCGGTGGTGGTGGTGAATTCCACCCTCGCTTGCGATCGTTCCAGGCCTCCCATCCCCGGTGCCGATCGCTGTGCCAGTCCCGTGCGCTGACGTTTCAGCCCTTTTGACGGTTGGGCACTGCATCAAACGGCTGCCATTCTTTACAGGGTGTGGGTGCGGATTTCTGATGCTAAGGGACCAGCATATATATTGCAAGGACCACATTACTTGTAGCAGGAAGTGATAATACTAGAAAAACTCAGCGAATACATATTATTCGGATAATTCAAAAACACCATGGACTGCCAAAGAGTTAATAAAGCTCACCGAATCCTACTCACATAAATCGGTCTTCATTCCTCAAACTCCAGCGGGAGCAATCAACAAAAAATAAAAAATCTCCCATTGCTCCCTCGAAGCTTCATTTATAGAGACTTCCTCCAAAGTATTGAAGTCTCACAAAATTAACCATTGCGTCTGCTGCATCTAATATATATAGACGAACGTGACTGACTGACTGACGCTAATTCTAACCATGTTCTAGAGAAGTTAGACATCTGAAACTTGGTACACATGTACCTTTTGGGATGCAGAAGTTTGAA